CTAATTGTCGTGTCAGTTAATGAATATCAAAGATCACTCCAGAGAGTAGGGGTGTTGAGGGCAAAAGACTTTATTCTTTCAAGAATCAAGCCAAGCAGTTCTCTGCAGTGAAGCTGCCCAGCTCTTCAGAAGGGTTCATGCACTCCCCACTTAGCAGAATGCCAATGCCTATGTAAGGTCATATAGATCACTTTCAGGCATCCGTGTCACCTTGTTCACTATACCATTTCAATACATCGATAATATTTAGGATTTAAATGTTAGCAAATATGAGTGCAGTTTTGTGGTTAACATTTTATGGTTACCATATTTGTATAATGCACATTCATATATGCGTTTGTTAGAAAAGCGACTATACCAAACTCATTGAGCCTTGAAACTGAGGACATAGCGTTTTGATCAATTGTGTTAGCAGTTAGACGTTTGCTAAGAAAACATTGTTTTAGAGCATATTTCATAAATAATGCCTTTCTAAACATTATTGATAATTTTTTCACTTTTTAGCACTTTATTATCAAGTGATGCACTTTAATTATGACATGCATATTTCTTGTCATTTTTTATCATAAACATGTAAAAAAAAATGTCAGTTAAGAAGTACTTCATGCCTATTCATATATGCGTTTGATTTCAATTTCCCAAGGTATTGGCGCATTGAAACTGTCTTGACAGGGTTTTCAGCGCTTGAATCGCGCAGGCGTTAGCACTTAGACGATTGTTAAGAAAACGTTCTGTTGGTGCATATTTCATGAATAATGAGTTTTTAAACATTATTTTTGTATATTTAAGATTTCGGCCTATCAAATAATGCTTTTCAATATGAACAATCATAATTCGTATCATTTTCTATCATAAACATGTGAAAAATGTCAGTGAACAGTTCTTCAAGAACATTCTTAAATGCGTTTGTTAGAAAAACCACTTTCCCAAGCTCGTAGCGCTTTGAAACTGTCTAAATAGCGTTTTCAGCGATTGAACTACACATACGTGACAGCAGGAT